GATTAGGTTCTGGTAGCCGCAAGGTCAGCAGTTCAAGCTCACCAACTGTTCCTTGGAAATCTATGGGTCACTATGGGTCAAAATCAACTTGATGGCACTTAACAACAACAACGACAAGTACAAATTATTCCTTTCAAAATCCCAGGGAAGGTTTATTCATTTGAATGCTAATTTGGTAAACTGCAACAGTAAATATTTGTTGCGGACCATGTAAGACTAGTCAGAGGTTCGAGGCTCTATAGACCCGAGTGTAACAAATGAGGCCACTGGCAGTTAATGGCAAATTGCTTTCATCTTAATATTCAGTTATATATATTAAAATAATACACGGAGCCTTTGATAATCCACAGATAAATGTCTTTGGGGTGCCTCATTGTCTCTCTCTTTGTCTCTTTCTGTGTATTCTTGCTATATATGAATTGCCGTCAGGTATCTCCTCCTTGTGAACCAAACCCCTATGTCGAGGCAGGTCCCCGACAAATATTTCCATATAATATCTCTAATTCTTTAACCTTATAGAATAGATATTATTTTGAGTTATACTACTGAGAAAATTGTGGTTCAGAAAGGTGAAGTAACAGTCCAAGCATGGCATTCATAATTTACTGCCAAGTCTCTCACACCTCACATCCAACCCACTTTTCTTCACTGCTTTCTACCAGGTCCAAATCACCAACACTGTCTGGACTATTGCAACAGCTGTCTAGCTGGCTTCTTCCTATTACTCACACCCCTTAAGAGCCTATTTCCCACGGCAGATAGACTCCTCTTCTTCAGCCTGCCAACCACTTTTCCATCTCATTTTTTTGCACTTCCGTTCCCACTGCTGGAATGCTTTGCCCTCACACATTCACATCTTTTGTTCCGTCATTTCATGAAGGGTCCTGAATGTCGCTTCATCAGAGAGAACTTTCCCAACCACGCTATCGAAATAGTATTCTTTTACACTTCTTTCACATAAATTTGTGCATTTGTTTATTTTCTACTCTCCTAGCTAGAACCTAGTCTCATGAAATCAGACTAGGACTGCAAAGAAACAAAACTGCTTACATATACAGTAGATAGGGTTATTTATATAGAAAACCCAAAAGGATATACAAATTAATGAGGGTTTAGCAAAGTTACTGGATGTAAAAATCAACAACAGCAAAAATAAAAAGTAACAACTGAAAATATACCATACAAAAAGCATAAAATTCCGTGGAAATAGTAACAAAAGAAGACATTTATGGAGATTATAAAACTTTATTGAAAGACATTTAAAAGGCCTAAGTAAATGGAGAGCTATACCACGTTCATGGATTAGAAGAGTATTGTAAAGACGACTCTTGGCTCCCCAAGTTAAACTAGAAATTCAATCAAAATCCCAGTAAGTTGTTTTGCCTTGTTTTTAAATTTAGAACTTGGAAGAATAAATGGTTAAGAATGCCCAAGATACTCCTGAGGAAGAAAAAATGTATGGTGATGTTGAGGGTAGAGGTGGGATTTGTACTCTATTATCAAAACTTAAAAAAAAAAAGAAATAGTAAGTATAGCAATCAGGATAGTTTAGAACCGGCATAACGCTAGTCAAATTGACCAGTCTGTTAGATTAGAGCCCATCAACAGATTCACATATACACACATATATTCAAAAACTTGATTTATGAAATAGTCATATAGATCAGTGGGGAAAAGATGAGCTTTTCAGTAAATGGAGCAGGAACAACTACTTATCCATAAGGAAAAAATGTTAAATTGGACTTCTACCTCACACATTTCACAAAAATCAGAGCAGACTAAAGGCAAATGTGGAAAGGAAAACTACAAAACTTTACAAGGCAGTACAGGAGAATATCTTTCTGGCATCAAGTAGGAAATGATTCCCTATCTCCCGTCCCCAAACAATTAATATTTAGCTTTATAAGATACTTTCCAAAAACAAATCATGTTACTCACACCAGGACACAGGCGACAATAACATTTAAAATTTCCAAATAAATTCCCTCTGGAAAAAGGCATTAGAAACATCAACAAAGTCCTTCTTATTTTCTTTTTTTAAGCTGCTATGAACAGGACAATTTTTCAATGGGATGGCCATCTCATATGAGGCATTTAGTTTAAGAGCTTTTCACAGGGCAACTCTGATGTTGAGGGAATGAACTAAAAACTGCAGAATCCTCAATGGGATGATTCACATACTAAAACAGGAACTGTGGATCTTTCAAGCAACACACTCTTGATATCATCAGAAAGTCTGTATTGCCTGAATATTGTTACCCGACACTGCCAATTTTAGGGATGCTAGGGCCATATCAAGATTCATGTTTGAGGAAGTCAAGTGTATGCTGATGATATCAGGGGAAGAGCAGAGGACATGAAGTTTTGTCCTCCCTGCCCACCCCTCACCCTACCACAATGCTCTGTGTCAAAGTGGTCTGATGTGGGAATGTGAGGGAATTCCTTCTGGTAACCATTCTCAAAACCAAGGATATAAAATCCTATTTTCTTCCATTTCACTCTAGCTTCTGAAACATCTATTAGTGGTATTTGCCCTTTCCACAAAAGACAAAAATGAAACATTCTATATGCTAACAATATAACTTAAAAAATAAAATAAGAGTTAAACCAAAATTTCTATATTTTTATAAAACTTGATTTTAAAAAAAAGTGTTTCAAGAACAGTTATTAGAAGTACAGAACTATCAAAATGTATACTTCACTTTGCATCTCCAGTGCCTTCCGCTTTCTGGGCCTGGACTGTAGAGGCATCTCTGTTTTTTGCAGGGTTGGTTCCATCTTTGCCAGCATCTGGTTTCCCTTTTCTCCCTTTGGGAAGTTTCTCTCCCTTCTTGGTAGGAGCCTTTTTAGGCCTGGGCTCTGGCTTTGGAGGTGCCGGTTTAGCAGACAACCGTGCTGATCTCCTCTGTGGCTCATCCTTCACCTTCACTTTGTCACCTTTAGCATCTCCTTTAGCCTTTCGCTTGGGCATGGTGGCAGCAGTATTTGGCAGGTGGCTTTGCTAATCCAGGGGGCGCTTCTGCCTCCCGCACACTGCTCCTGGAAAGGTTTCTTTAACAAGACACAAACATTTATACAATAAAAGGAAAGACAGACTAATTTAGCTCTTTGACTATATTAAACTTAATAACTTATGTTTGTCAAAAAAAAATAGAAAGGTAAAAAGATAAACTACAAATGGGGCAAAGACATCTGTAATACATGTTAACTAACAAAGGATTAAAATCCAGAAATATAAAGAATTCCTACAAATCCAAGAGAAACGAATGAAATAAAAATATATTTTATATCCACCAAATTGGCAAAAACTAAGTAGTCTGACAATATCAAGTACTCAGAAGATATGAAACAACCAAAACAGCAATCAAATACCTATTGGTGTGTTTGTGTATATGAGTTAGTATGTATCACTTTAGAGTCCTGGTGTGGCACTGGTGGTTGAAATCTACCAGTTACTCCTTGGAAATCCTAAACAGGATAGCTCTGAGTCCAACTGACTCCTGGGAACTTAACAAACACAATTACTTTAGAAAGCAATGTGTCATTATTTAAAGCAATTTTACTTCTAGGTGTTTACCTAAAGGTATTCTTGAAGGGGTGCAAAGAAGACCCTGATAAGAATGTTTATAGCAACATTGTATGTAATTTCAAAAAACTGGAAACTACCCAAATGCCCTATAACGTTGTTGCTGTTGTTGTTAATATTAAGTGCTTTTGAATCGGTTTGGACTTATAGCGACCCCATATATGGTTTCTGAGGCTATATCTTTAGGAAAGCGAAAGCCTCATCTTATACCCATGGAGCAGCAAGTGGCTGGGCTGGAACCGGCTAACCTTGTGGTTCACAATCCAGTGATTACCCTATAGAGTCACCATGCTCCCAAATTTCCTATAATAGAATGGACTACTATTCAGCAGCAAAAATGAATAGACAGCAGCTACATGCTAAAATGAAATACAGATAGCATTAGTAAGAACATTGAACAAAAAAGTAAATTGTTTATCTCCTTTGCCATGAGGTCAGAAGACCTAGATGGTGCCTGGCTACCATCATTGAGCTTGGTTTAAGCAGCTGGGGTCAGAAGCAGGATTCATTGCAATGGCTTCAGACTTGTGAAAAGTATGAGGCATTGTTAAGAAAAAGAACCCAGGAGCATGGAAAGGGAAACTTCTGAATTTTAGATGGTTACTTTGGAGTCCTGGTGTGACAATGCGGGTTAATTTGAACCCAAAGGCCCGTGGTTTAAGCTCACCAGCTCCATACAGGGTCCTATGAGTCAGAACCATTGACTGCAATTAACAACAACAATGGCTGAAAGGAATGCAGGGGATAAAATGCTTAAGCAGAGGGGAGAGTGGCAGCCTCTGGAGTTGCCTAAGGCAGATGTCAACTTGGTTGAACTAGATGGCTGATAGGGGCCAGGGCCTACTGGAATCTACCCTGCTATAGGCCCAAGACTATATGCATATGAATGGAGTTAGTCCAAGGGAGAAGAAAAGATTGAACTTGAGTGTTTTAAAAGGTTTATGTGCTTGACTACCTTATGGATATTGCTTTCTCCTGCTTATTATTGTAAGATAGATATACATGTGTGAAAGAAATGAATATTGTGAATCATGATTCCAGAGAGCTTGTAAACCCATCTTCAGCCTGTACTTGATTGGATTTGCTTAAAGAGGAGTTAGAATTTGCCCAAAAAGAAATAGGCTTTTTGCTTTAAGCTTTTGTAGAGTATAGGGCCTTCTTGCTTTGGTAGCATAGTAGTTATGAATTGGGCTGCTAATCTCAAAGTCAGAAGCTCAAAACTACCAGCTAGCTGCTCCACAGGAGAAAGATGAGGCTTTCTGCTCCTAAAGATTTACAGACTTGGAAACCCTATACAGGGTCACTATGAGTCGAAACTGGTTCCACCACACATAACCACCAGAGTATAAGGCTTTAGGTGGAATCCTTAGCCCCACCCAGAACCTTCAGAGTTGGTACATTTGCATTTGAAAAGACATGCCGACCAACCCAGAACTGATGGGAGAACAGGAGATTCAAGATTGAAAGGAAGCAGAGAAAACAAGCAGACTTTTTTTTTTTTTTGAGATTCAAGAAAGCTGTTTACTTTGCAGGTATCAAGACAAAGAAAGTCTGACCATCAGAGAAAAACACCATTCTAGGAATGCAAGTTAAAGGGAACTGGCAAGCTGTATACTAGCTGGTGACCACCTAAGTCTATGTGTGAGTGGAACTGGGGGAAATGCTGTAATGATGACATGAGCTGAGTTTGGTCATGTTCTACTGGCACTTAATGACCTTAAGAAGGAAGAGAAGAAGAAGGGCCAGCTGGTCTGAAGTTTACGGAGCTGTGTGAACTCCTGAGCCCATGGTCACTGACCTAGCTCCTAGGACTAAGAGTGAAAGGCCCCGTTGGTCTCAAGTGCAGGGAGGTGTGTGTGAACTCCAAAATTTGCAGCTGGTACCCATTTGACCTAGCTTGGATGGCTAAGTCTGAGCTTACCAGAACCCAACCAGATGACCTACCAAATGACAATAAAGATATTTCATACTGTAATTTGAAATAATCTGAGCAAGTGTAAATTGCTATAATTTGTTGAACTGTTCTTTTGTTTATGGATGCAGTTGTTCAAAATTCCAACCAGAATAGAAGATTCCTCAGATCAAAAAACATCCTTGTCTCTTCAGTGCACTGGGTTGATGTTGTTGTTAAGTGTTGACAAGTCAGTTCCGACCCATTGTAACTCTGTATAGGGTTTCCAAGGAGGGAATGGTGAGCTTGAACTGCTGGCTTTGCGGTTCAAGCTGACTTTGTAGTCCAGTGCATTAATCCGCAGCACCATACCAGGACTCCACTGGGTTGATAGGGATGGGCAATTTAGACATTGGCTATCAAAAATTGGGGACTATAAAGGCATGAAGTGGCTGGCTTACAAACTTTCATGGTTCTTCTTAGACAAGGGAGCATCCCCACTGACGAATTTTCCTCTTTTCCAGATGAGTCTGGTAAAAGGGGATGGGGGATGATGCTGATAGGATTTTATGACTTCAATTGTAAATAATTGTTAATAGGGTTGTGATTGTTAAAACTGTAATTATAGAAGATGTGCAACTAAAAGGGAGGAGTAGTTAATCTTTCATTTCAGGAACATAGAATCCCAGGACCATTAAGAAGGAAGAGCATGAGTGGAGTGTAGGAATCCCTGCATGGAAAAACAGCAATAGTAGTGACAGTGGCAGCGGCATGGAAAGACAGAGCAGCTGTGCACTCTAGGTTCATAAACTAAGACTTTGTGCCTAAAGGCAGGAGACTAGCTTGCAGAATGTGCCCTTTGGACATTTAAATAAATATGTATACAATTTTTTTTGTGTGTATATGTGTATCAAATATTCTTGCTTTGTTAATTTGTGACCTATAAGATGAAAACAGGACCAGTGCATTTTCAGTTGTCCACGTTTTAGTTACATCATGTTAGGTGAAAGTATGACTTTACAACTTTCTTTAGACACTATGCATATACTTTATAGGTGTCAAGTTGACAAGGGTGGACTGTAATAGGGTTCTGTGTCAATTGGACCAGGCCAGGATTTCCAGTGATTTAGCAGTTGAGATGTACTTATTCCCATGGTGATGAAACATAATACAGGCATGGTTAACTCAATTGAAAGAATGTTTCCTTGGGGGTGTGGCCTGCTCCCCCAAAAACAGATACACTAGAAACTCTCTTAGTTGGGGACCTGGGACTCTACAATTGTAAGTCATTTCCTTGATAATAAACTTCTCTTTATATGTTGTCGCTGTTCAGTGTCATCAAGTCGGTCCCAACGCATAGTGACCCTGTATAGAATTTCCAAGGAGTGACTGGTGAGTTTGAATCACTGATCTTGCAGTTAAACTGCCCTTGCAGTGTAGTGCTTATCCTACAGCAATCCATATATGTTTCACTGGCTTTGCTTCTCTAGAAAACCCAGCCTAACACATCAACTTTAGATATGAACCGTAGTGGGCAGTGAGTTTATGTTAATGGAGGAGAAACAACTCAGAAACGGAGAGTGAGAATGTCTGCACAACTCTTAGGAGGAGAAACAACTCAGAAACGGAAGGTGAGAATGTCTGCACAACTCTTAGAATCCTCGGATAATCAATGTCACCGAATTATACATGTAAAAACTGTTGAATTGATATATGCTTTACTGTACATAGTCATAAATAACAAAATGAATTTAAAAATTTTTAAATGTTTTCAGAAAAATATGTACAGTACAGATATATTTATATACAACCAAATGCCATTTTACTTTGACTACAAGCAAGTAATAAAACTAAACAGTAGGAATAAACAGAAAAATCAGAATAGTGATCAACTCTGAGGAGACTGGAAAGGGACATGACCTAGGGAAGGAAGGAGGTGGTGGTCTCCTTGAACTGGGGTGGAGGGGAGAAGCAGTGTGGGGACTATTACATTATTATCTTCTGTTTCTTACATGGAAAAACTTTATGTGCCTATCAGTAATCAAAACTACCAAAAATGGTGAGTTGCTGTTGTTATGTGCATATGAGTCAGTTCAGACCTATAGTCATAACCTTTTATAGGGTTTTCAAGGAGTAGTTGGTGAGTTTGAATCATGGACTTTTACAGTTAGCAGTTTAGTGCTTATCCTATGACTCCAAAAATTGTGAGGGAAGTAGCTAAAAGAATAGTTGATAATCAAGAGTAGAGATTCAGGGCAATAGAAGCAGGAATAGAAAGTGATTTCTTTAGAGTTTGGGTAATTAAAAGCAGTACCTATGGTTGGCACTCATGGGCACCATGCAGCTTTTTCAGTCAAAACTAGCTACTATCCTTGAAAAGGTTTACTAGGTAATTCTGTAATCCTGAGCACTGCCCCTGCTCAACAATTTTGTCTTTTCTTAAATTGTTCCGAAAGGTTTTTTGTTGTTTTGTTTTATTTACTGGACCTCATTATCTAAAATACTGGGGAACTTAGTCATACTTCAGCACACTTAGATTTCATTCATTTGTATGTTGCTAGACTAACAAAGTGATCACTGGTAAATGATACTAAAACACCACATTATCTAGTTTCCTCATATATTCCCTCATGACTAGAATTTCTGGAATCTGTGCATTTTTCCATTCTTCTTGTAGAATGTTGTTGTTGTTATGTGCCATGGAGTCGGACTCATAGCAACCCTGTACAGGATTTCTGAGGCTGTAAATCTTTACGGGAGCAGAAAGCCTCATCTTTTTCCTATGGAAGAGCTGGTAGTTTCAAACTGCTGACCCTGAGGTTAGCAGCCCGATTTGTAACCACTACGCTACCAGAGATCCTTGTAGAATAGTGATATGAAATTCAATATAAAGAAGAAGGAAGAACTAAAGTTTTGAGTGTGCCTTAAATCAGTCATTATTTCCCTTACTATCTCATTAGGTACTCTGAGAACAGTGATGAAGACTGAGAAGAGAAACAGTGTGTTCTTATATTGAATAGCTCTTCACTGAAAAGCCAGTGTGAAATAAAGCAGGCCCTTCTCTTTCCTCACTGTACTCCTCCCTTTTCATGGACACTGAATTACTGAGGAACCAGAAAATGATGGCACTGAGGCACACTCCTGTTCTACTCATCTAGCTATACCTTACCTACTCTATCCCAAAGACATCGTTCTTTAACCTTTTATATTAATTTATACTTAATTTCTGTCCTTTTTTCTCTTTCTTAAATAAACCACTAAGGAAATGTTTCAACAATGTGTAAGAGAACAAGAGATTTTTTTTTCATCCAAATTCAGGCACAATATGGGAAATAACTTTTAAAGGAAATACTTGAGAAGGATACCAGATCAGGTAAGCCAACTTTGAATAAAGTAATAATGGGCCCAGAAAAGAAGAGGTAAGAGAGAGAAATCTGTTCTTAAAATGAAGGAACCAATATAGAGAGACATTATATGGCATGCAACAAACTTATTCTAATATTAGAGAATTTGTTTTGTCTTAGAGGAAGTACAGCCAGAATGTTCCTTAGTAGCGAGGATGGTGAGATTTCCTCTTACATACTTTGGATATGTTATTAGGAGGGAACAGTCCCTGAAGAAGGACATTCTGCTTGGTAGAGTGCAGGGTAAGTGAAAAAAGGGAAGACCCTCAATAACATGGATTGACAGAGCGGCTGCAACAATGAGCTCACACATAGCAACAATTGGATGGCACAGGACAGGGAAGTGTTTCATTCTATTGTACATAAACTCATAGTGAGTCAGAACTGACTGGATGGCACCTACCAACAACAACATTAGATGACTTTGTTTACACTTGTTGTCCTCACATAATTGTCCAAGCTTGGACAATAAATGATTAGGTAATCCTAAATATCCTGCATATATTTGTAGATGCCTTTTCATTGTCAGGGATTGAGAGAGAAAATAAAAGGGTGAGTTTTTGTGCTAGGACACATTTTCCTAAAGAATGGGCAATCCATTCCATTTCCTTTCCTTCTTAATCCAAAACAGTATTTTTCTCAGTCCATCCCCTGGTGTGGGAATGCTCACAGAATCTGTGATAGATAGATTCCTTGTAGTCCACCAAAGCTGAGGGGCCATAATCATCCTATGTCAAAGGCCAAAACACAGCAAGTGACAGTAAAGATACATTTATGGAAAACAGGTATATGGATTTGTTCCTTGAAACTCACCTTCAGGAAGCGACTGATCAGGAGACCTGGTGACTGACTCTTCAGAGACCTTATAAATGTAGGAGACAGATATACAAATAATGAAAAAGGGCCAAAAGCATAAAAGGTCTTTTCCATGATGGTCAAGGAGGATTGGGGATAGAGGGACCTCTCACCACACAGGGATGTTAAATTATTTGGGAAATAATTAAAATAGAGAAGTATACAATTAAGAATATTTCACCACGCATGTGAAAAAAATCTTATAAGAAATTTATTATTTGGGGGAATACAATGATAGCAGGGAAGAAATTATCAAGACAGATACTGAGGCTATTTCCCCAAGACATTCCTAAAGCTTTAGGAATTGAACAATTCCCCTTTGTTAGAAAGTCACACTCCCAAGGACAAAATTATACTAATTGAGAACAAAACAAGTTAGTGAACCTTTTAATCACACATCTTCACATTGCACAGAGAGACTGAAATTCTTGTAAAAATTTGCAATTTAACTCATTTAACCAGATTACTTATTTTATGTGCAAAAGGGTATCTTTCCTTCAGCAGCTGCAAGGAAGAGGTAATATTTGCTCTATCCTTTTCTTAGAATCCTTTGGTTAACTATAAATACTGGCAATTTTTCATTAGCAAAAGACCCATGATGCTTACATTAACCAGAAAAAAATCGCTTAGAAAAAAAAAAAAAAGGAGAGCAAATATTAATAATTTTCTTCTGCAACAAAATATACTAATGCTGCATAAGATGAGGAGATGCAAAAGGTGAGTTCATCTGTGAGATGAACTCCTGGTAATTTCCCAGACTGTATCAAAAATGTACACAATACAAAAATCTCTTTCCTTGGGAATAATGAGTAGTGGAAATGTCTTTGTGATTAGGGACACATCTTGAATTAGATTAACTCTGAGGTTTCACCCAACTCTCAAAATCTTTTTTCCCATGATTTTGGCTCTGGTATAGTGAGTTTATCCCAGGCATCCATGGACTAAATTCTATCTCATTCAATACTCTTCTCCCACTCCATTCCCAACAAACACCATGGACACGTTTTAGCAGCCTCATCTTGCTCCCTTGACTGTTACTGAAATGGATTTTGGGGTAGTAGTTCTAGCTTGTGTTCCTGTCTCTATCCCATCCCAGTCTGAAAGCCACACTCTTTCTTTCTGTTTCTTGATTCCATTCATATCACTCCTTAAAGGAGACCTGTAGCAATGCGATCTGAGACGCTAGGCCAGGCTAACGCTTAGAAATAGTCATAATAATAGCAACAGGAGTAATACATCTAAGAAAGAAATCCTGAGAATACACCTGAAGCTATCAGGTAGAATAGCAAGATTTCTTTCCCAAAAAAGCATTTCACTGATTCAACTAAAATTAAACACAGAGGTCAGAGGCCAAATCCAGGGCACAAAGTCCTGATTTAAAAACCGGTATTGTGAATGACTTTTCTCAAGCTGTAAGCCAAAATACAGACTTAAGTTGGTCCACTTCTTACCTTTGGGACCCTATTTTCTTTTTGACGGGGAGATCAGAAGGTCAAAGTGAAGAAAAAGACTTGCCCTGCGTGTCTCTTCGGTTGGGGTTTCCTGCAGGTGATGCCCAGTAAAGTGGGAAGGGATGGAGAGTCCAGGCCATGCCGATTAAGCTGCCCGCCACGACCTCCTTCAGGCCACAGCCCTGCAGACCCAATTATTTCAAATCCTCTCCTCGCTTCTCTTTTTTACCCTTTACTCTAGGAAACCCGATGGGGACGCTGCTGTGGGGCCTGCAACCTCTGCTATCCCACCTCCCGGATTCTGCCTTTCCCGAGGAATTAACACCCGGAGCCCAAGAGACACAGCAGTTACTTTGGAGACAGGAAGGCAAGGTGGGACTATCGAGGTGTCAAGGTCTCTAATTACGACCAGGGCCATTTTGCAGGAGAAGCCCAAGTAATTGCTGCGTGGTTGGACCCTCTACATTTTCTGGAGGCGCACACTATGTCCCCCGAACCGTGAGGTGCTTACCCGAGTCTTGCGGCCTCCGAGGGGCACAACGATCCAAGCAGTGGTGCCCTGGCTCGGGCAGGGAGGGCACAGACTGAAACGCTATGGACGCGCGGACTCCCGCACCACCGCGGACAGGAAGGCGAGGGGAAGCGAGGATGCGCTTCCGGGGCTGCGGACGGCCCGCCGCGCACCCTAGGCCGAAAGAGCTCGGTTTTCCCCTAGTGATACGAATGTGGGCCTCCTTGGCCGAGGGACTTCGGAACCACCCCTGCGGCACCGCTTTAGTACTTCGGCGGGAGCGAGCAAGGCAGAAAGAGGAGGGGGACCTATATATAAAAGTGTGAAGTTTAAAATAAATAAGTAAAAATAAAAATACGTAATTTGAAGAATTAACTCAATTAAGGAGGAGAAGAGGGCAAAACGTGTTTCCGCCCGGTTTCGAACCGGGGACCTTTCGCGTGTGAGGCGAACGTGATAACCACTACACTACGGAAACCCTGCAGGAGCAAGGTTTCAGAAACTAGTGTTCTCCCGTCATCTTCAACTCGTTGTATTGGTAATTGTGCGTCGTTAGTATGCATGTGTCTCTGTGCGGGTTTCTGAAACCAGTAAGGTAAATGCGTTTTAGTTTCTTTCCTTTTATATTAACGGTACTGCAAACTCATCCTTTAGTTGGAACACAAGGGATGTCAGAGAAGGTGGTCACTATATGCGCTTTCGGCAACGCCACCGCTTGATCGGATGCGGAATTTGTCCTGCAAAGGGGTGGTAGCTCCATTTGCGTTCCAAAGTCGCGTCTTCTACACTACGGAAACTTTAAGACAAACTTTACTTGCATGGGTTTTTTTTTACCCTATCGAACTTAAATTCAAGAAAAAAAGGAGTGTCAAAAGAAGGAGATTTAAAAAAAAAAAAAAAAAGAGTCGGCACAGACCGAGCCAGCCAGGAGTCGAACCTGGAATCTTCTGATCCGTAGTCAGACGCGTTATCCATTGCGCCACTGGCCCCGCACGTAGGTGGCGTTGCGACGGGCGTCTCTTGATCAGAAACCAGGCGGCGGCACAGATTCTTCTTGTAATGGTTGTGTTTAGGGCTGAAAGCTGCTTTTTTTCTGGCTGGTGTAGACTCGCTAAGTGCAGGTAACCCAGCTACCACGTATCCTGCACGCTTCTCAATTCTTTCAATGCCGGCGGGAAAACGGCATTGGGAGACCAGCCTGGCATCCTCCGCTTCAAAATACTCCATTTCTGCTTTCTGATTTCATTGATTCAATATACCGAGGTAAATAAAACTAACACGATTCCTGTCCTCGAGAAGATAGCTGACTGTGGCGGAAACAGATAAAACAGAACTGCATAAGTAATATAATGGTGATAAGCGTTTGGAGGAAAAATAAAACAGAAAAAAGAGGAGAACCCAGCAGTGAAAGTGGTGAAATGCGTCAGTTGTAAAGGCCAGGGTGTGGAAGTGGGCTTGGGATGTTCCAGAAATGAGCAAGCCAGGGCAGAGTGGAGGTTAGGAAACCAGTAAGAGGAAATCCGGAGATATGGCTCCAGCTTTGTAGCTGTTGCTCTGTTGGAAGACATTGGAGGTTGGCACGATCTCACTTCTCTCTTACTTATCTCTCCTTGGGTCGTTAAAAAACAGATAAAATATTTACTAATCCAGATGCTACCACTCCTACCGCAAAATTTACATCTCAGAATTTACATTAAAATGAAGGTGCCTGGTCTTCTAGAATACACAGGAATATGCATTTGTTTGCTACCTTAAGTGTGTGAGTGTGTTTAAACCTGTATTATGAGGAGTCATTACCCCCATGCCTGGTCTTCTTACCAGGTTTTTTAATTTAAAAAATTTTTTTACTGTGGACCCCTAAGGCAGTAGGTAAATACGAATCCATCTCAGTATAATGTTGTTGTTAAGTGCCATTGAATCGGTTCGACCCATAGCAACCCTGTATAAGGTTTCAGAAGGCTACTGGTGATCTTGTGGTTCAAACCGACTTTGCAGCCCAGCACATTAACCCACAGCGCCAAAAAAAAAATAGATATATAAAATTTCAAAAGGAAGCTAATACTAAAAAATTATGATATAGTAATATTTGTGCTTTTAAATTTTATTACTGTACTAAATAACAAGCTCCACCAAGGATTTAACATCTAATGTATAATTTCAAAACAGTAATGAACATAAATGATATTTTATTAAATCAGCAAGAATTATAATTTGGTAGGAAAAATATTGCTGATTTTCAATAGTGAGAAAGTCACAGGAGCTAAAATACCACTCTGGTTTGTTGACTATATTAATAACGGATGGAAATGCAAAATTTCAGTAATAGCTTAATCAAAATAAATATTTATTTCCCCACCTATTACACAGTCACAGTAATCAAAAACAGCCTTGTACAACAAAAGAAATACAGTTCTCAATGAAACAGAATTGACAACCCAGAAGTAAATCCATCCACCTACATTTAGTTGATCTTTGATGAAGAGCTAAAACCCAGTAAAAGGGGAAGAGATAGACTCTTCAACAAATAATGATGGGTAAACTGGAAATCCATTTGCAGAAGAATGAAATTAGACCTATATCTTACACCATACACAAAATATAACTCAACATGCATTAAAGACCTAAATGTAAAACCTAGAACTATAAAGTGGAAAAAACAGGGGAAAACTTAGGGGCTCTGATACATGGCATAAATGCACTATCAAACATAACTGAAAACACACAAAAAGCAAAAGACCAAATAGATGACTGTTGCTGCTGTTGTTAAGTGCCCCTAAGTTGACTGCAACTCATAGTAACTCTGTATAGGGTTTCCAATGAGCAGCTGGTGGGTTTGAGCCACCAACCTTTTGGTTGGCAGCCCAGTGCTTATCCTACAGCACTACACCAGGACTGCAAATAGATGACTGGGACCTTCTAACAATTTGACACTTACATGCACCAAAAGATTTCAACAAAGGAGTAAAATAATCTGCAGACTTAGAAATAATTTTGGACAATGATATATAAGACAAGCGTCTACTCTCTAAAATGTATAGAACATGTCACAGTTCAACAAGAAGACAAATAATCCAATTTAAAAATGGGCAGAGACATCAAAGGAAGAATGGATAAACTGGGAAGGGAAAATTTGTAGACACATGCTAACTTGGGTGTCTGGGAAGGTAATTAAAAGGAAAAAGAAAAACAGAAATTTCTTTTTCTTCCCTTCATGTACTTGAAGGGAAACAATGTTTATTTTCATTAGACCAACCCATTGGCTGAAGGATCTGTCCACTTTCACTCAATGTTTGTCTGTAAAGACCTCACTTTGTCTTCCAGGTTTTGAAGGTCTCTTTTCACTCTCTCATATTTCTCAGCAGTATTCACAACTTGATCGGAGTTGAGACATGCTTTCATTTTATTTTGGATATCTTTCTGTTGAATCTAATTTCCTGAGAGTTACAATTTGAGCTTCCAGTCTTTTCTTCAGTGGTTTTATCAGCCATATATGTTTATGTTGTTGTTAGGTGCTGTTGAGTCAGTTTTGACTCGTAGCAACCCTATGCACAACAGAAAAAATACTGCCCCGGGTCCTGCATCATCTTCAAAATTGTTGCTACCTTTAAGCCCATCATTGCTGTCACTGTGTCAATCAATGTCATTGGGAGTCTTCCTCTTTTTCACCGACCCTTCACTTTATCAAGCATAATGTCCTTCTCCAGGGTCTAATCCCTTCTGATGATATGTCTGAAATATGAGAGAGGAAGTCTCCTTATCCTGGCTTCTAAGGAATAATCTGACTGTACTTCCTCCAATACATACTTGTTTGTTCTTTTAGCAGTCCATGATACTTTCACTATTATTCTCCAACACCATCACTCAAATGCATCAATTGTCTTGTGGTCTTCCTATTCGTTGTATGAATTTGAGGTAATTGAAAATACCATGACTTAGGTCAGGTTTACTTTAGTCCTCAAACTGACATCTTTGCTCTTTACCACTTTAAAGAGGTCTTTTGCAGCAAATTAGCCTAATATAATACATTGTTTCATTTTCTTAACTGCTGCTTGCATAAGTGTTACTTATGAATCCAACTAAAATGAAGTCTTTGATAACTTCAATCTTTTCTGATTTATCATGGTTTTATTTATTAGTCCAGTTGTGAGGATTTTTGGGTTCTTTACATTGAGGTGCATTCCATACTTTGATCTTCATCATAAAGTGTTTCAAATCCTCTTCACTTCCAGCAAGTGAGCTTGTATCATCTGCATATCACAGATTGTTAATGAGTCACTGATCCCAAGTTCTTCTTCATATAATAAAGCTTCTCAGATTATTTGCTCAACATACAGATTGAATAAGTATGGTGAAAGGATACAGTCCTGGCGCACACCTTTGTTGCCAAACCAAAACAAGGGTTTGCCGCCTATCGCTGTAGTCAGTCACAGAGACGGGGAGAGATCTGATCCAAGCTTTATTAACAGAAAGCCAGTAGTCTGGAGGACAGGGTGAATAACCTCTCAAGGTTGTCCTGTTCATTGTAAAGAGAAGGCACATTATATAGGATAAATTATATTTGGATGTACAATTAATCTATTTTAACATCAGGATCGCATTCTTTGATAAAACAAACAATAAGGCAATAATCCTTTTCAAACATTCTACCTTTTAGGGTTGCAGCTGCTTAGTTTCTGAGAGAACTATCTGGCTGGGCTTAAGCACATCCGGTTCTCCTTCTAGAGTCATGAGGTTATCGCTATCTTGGCTAATTTTTAAACTAACTTCCTCATTTGCAGAGTCCTCATTTATTGAGACCTAATGACTAAACCGACTCCATTTTGTTTAGGTCAATAGATCTATGCTATAATGTTTCTTGGTTTTAAATCACTCAGTATCCCCTTGTTCTGTTGGAAAGACTGCCCCTTGATCTATGTACAGGTTCCTCATGAGCACAATGAAGTATTCTGGAATACCCATTCTTTGCCATGCTATCTATAATTTGTTATAATCAATGCCTTTGCATGGTCAATAAAACACAAGTCTGT